CGGATTTTAAAGTCACAAAAAGATTACTTCTTTTTTTTTTTTTTCTAGACACTACAGACCTGAAAAAAATTGAGATATAAAGCCGAGTCAGAAAAGAAAACAGGGAGAAACAGGGATGCAGAGTCTTTTTAGGACTCTGCATCCCTGTTTGCTTGACATTCGTATCACTCCAGCTTCTATATCTAAAGTGATTTCCTGCTTAAACTCTTCTACAGCTTGTGGTCTAAGCAACATGCCTGTTATAGTCTTGCAGAAATTTTCTCTGGAGCTGTTATCTATACTTTCAAAACTATTTAACAAGCATCTGTTATCCCTATTTTCAAAAATTCTGGAGAGTGAATGATGCCCGCTCGCTTTTAGAAAAGGTGCAAAAACACTTTGTAAACATAGTTGGACCTGCACTTGCAGGCAACCTTCAACCATTGTTATATCGTTGTAATGTTGCTTCTTTTTCTCTTTTTTGTAAATACTATAATGGACATTGCTTCAAAGAGCTAGCGTCTCTTGTGCCATCTACTAAAATTCTTTAAAGTCATCTGCTTTATAAATTTATCTTTTCTCTTCCAGCAACTTTCAACTCTATTAGTGGTTGTTTGCAGCCTTGTTGGAAGTGAAGATATATATATATATATATATATATATATATAAACAATTTCAAAATGTATTCTATAAAAATAGAGCTCTTAAATGAATAATGTTCTTAAAAGAACAGACCAATTATAAATTAGTAGAAAATCACTTGACAAAACTTTTTTTTAATTTAAAAACTGTGTTTCATCAATAAAGACTCATCAGAAATGAATGATCAAATTAATAAAACTTCAATTTATACCAAAAATTAAAGTTGTATGTCTTAACTACTGTAATTTTTCACATATTTGTGGAATTTGCTGACACTATCATAAAAAGAATTCTTTATGCTTTTTTTTTTAAAAAAAATTTCAAAGGAGGATGTACTGTAACTATCATTGGAGCTCACTTATTTTTATAGTTTTTTAGGAGAAACTTATTTTCGTGCCTGCATTTAGAAATCAACCCTGATTTTTTGTTTAATAAACATTCTTGGTTTGTATGTGTAATTATTTCAAAATTTTCTTGAAGACATAGCATGCATTTTTTGGAAATATTGTTGTATGCAGGCGCTGTTTTAAGGGTGGACCAAGTCATTATAAAATCATCAATATTTTTATATTTTTTTATTCAGACTGAAATATTACATAAGTAAATTAAAAAATATTAGTACATAGCTGTATTGTATGTGTTATAAATTAAATATTTTTTTATTGTTTTTTTATATTCTTTTTTTCAGGGTCAAATTTTAGTTCAAAATTTTCAAAACCACTTTTTTTTAGTATGTAATTATGGAAACAAATAATTTCACTTATTCGTTGAAAAATATACCTATACTAGATAAAAAAAAGTTAAACTATTTCTTTGATTGAAAAAGTTGAGCATTTTATTAAAAGAATTTGTTGGAAAGCCCATTTTTCTTAAAACCAAATACAAACACAGATGATGTATTTAATAATAACCAAGATAATTATAATTATGGATTTAAAACAAAAAATACCCCACCTTTTATACCTGATTTGGAAAATTTTGAAAATAACCTACTGCATTTAATTAAAACAATAAAGTTTCACCCTATAAAAAATGAACAGAATTAAAGTTACATGTTAAAAAAATTAAATCAAATCCTATTATTTGGTTTTTGCTGATAAAACAAATAACATTTACCATCTCACAACAGAAAACTATGGAAAAATTTTAGGCGACAATATTACTAGTTCTATGAGAAAGCCCCTAAAAATTTGGAAAACACAATTAATTTAGAAGCGTTAAGTATTGCTAAAAAAATAAACTCTGATAACAGAATCGAATCAACTGACCCTGCCCAAGCCTTCGTAACACTAAAAGACCATAAACTAAATTTTCAAAACAAACTTCCTTGTAGGTTATTGGCTCCCTGAAAAAGTGAGATAGGACATGTAAGCAAAGTTAAATTAGACAAAATTAATAACATTCTTAGAAATAAATTAAACTTGCAACAGAGGAAAAATACCACTGATGTTATAAATTGGTTCTCCATAATCGAAAATAAAAATGACTGTACATTTATTCAATTTGACATTAATGATTTTTACCCCTCAATAACTGCTGATATTTTAGATAAAACAATTGAATTTGCGAAAAGCCACACAGTTATACCTGAAGAAACATTCCATAAAATAAAACATTGTAGAAAGACCTTTCTTTATTTTAATAAGGAAACTTGGAAAAAGAAAAACATACATGAGTGCTTTGATATAACAATGGCCAGTTATGATGGAGCAGAAATTTGTGAATTTGTTGGACTATATATTTTAGATTTGTTAAGTAAAATAATCAACATAAATGATTTAGGCCTTTATCATGACGATGGTTTAAAAGTAATGCATAAAAAATCTGGTCCACAGTTCAATAAAATTAGAAATGATATAAAAATTTTTAAAAATATTGGCTTTCAAATCGAAATAAACATAAATTTCAAAATTGTGAACTTTCTTGACGTCACATTTAACCTCCCTGAAAACTCCTATAAGCCTTTCAAAAAACCAAACGATGAATTATTGTATATTAATATTAACTCAAATCATCCACCACAAATTCTAAAACAAATTCCAATTTCAATTAATAACAGGCTAAACCAAAACTCCTCTTATGAAAATGTATTCAATTCCTCTAAACAAATATTTGAAGATGCCTTTAAAAAAAGTGGTTTCGAAAATTTTGAACTAACATTTGACCCTGAAAAAAAGAATGCAAAAAAGCAAAATAAAACTAGAAATGTAATTTGGTTCAACCCCTCATATAGCAAAAATGTTTTCACTGACATAGGTAAAGTGCTTTTAAAATTGATCAATAAGCATTTCTTGCCCAGAATGTAATTTATAGAATAAATTACATTAAAATTTTAATCGAAATATAATTAAAGTTACCTACAGTTGCACAAAAAATATGGAAAGAATCATAAAAGGTCACAATAATGCTTTGTTAAACAAAAACAAAATTTTTAATGAAAAAACTACAGAAAATTGTAATTGTAAACAAAAAAACAATTGTCCAATGAGTGGAAGTTGTTTATCCATAATGTGGTATATAAATGTGTTGTTTCCTCTAAGAATGTACCTGATAAACAATATATTGGCATAACGGAGGGTGAATGAAATAAAAGGTTTTGCCAATCATAAGCAATCCTTTAAAAATAAAAAGTATTCAAAAGACACCATGCTGTCAAAATATATATGGGAATTAAAAGATGAAAATATTGATGATTTTTTTATGAATTGATCCATCCTTAAAACAGCGCCTGCACACAACAATATTTTCAAAAAATGCATACTATGTCTACAAGCAAATTTTGAAATAATTACACATGCAAACCAAGAATGTTTATTAAACAAAAAATCAGAATTGATTTCTAAATGCAGGCACGAAAATAAGTTTCTCCTAAAAAACTGTAAAAATAAGTGAGCTCAAATGATAGTTACATTACATCCTCCCTTAAAAAATTAAAAAAAAAAAAAAGCATAAAGAATTCTTTTTATAATAGTGTCAGCAAATTCCACAAATATGTGAAAAATTACAGTAGTAAAGACATGCGACTCTAATTTTTGGTATATATGTATATATATGTGTATATATATATATATATATATATATATATATATATATATATATATATATATATATATATATATATATATATATATATATATATATATATAATATATATATATATATATATATATATATATATATATATACATATATATATATATATATTCATATATATATTTATATATATCAAGCTATCACAAGAAGGCGTGCAATTTCATGCTTTTATATGACCACGCAAGTTACATTTTGCTATGGCAGTTTGACCGCGGCTAATTCAAAAACATTTTAAAAACGCGGTAAATAAAAAATATTCTAAAAAAGTGAAATTAATTACATCAAAACCTCTTAACAAATGTTTTTATATTAGCGAAACTATTTTAAATAAAGTAACAATTTACTTAAAACAGGTTTTGTTTTTTAAATATAATTGACAGTTGTATATATTTTTTTAATTTAAGACATATAAATTGTTTAAGTGTTCATTTCTAAAATAAACTTTATTAAAAAACAAAAAATTGTTTTGTTTTTATAAACGATGACATTCTACGACTACGTAAGACTCTTTAACGAATTTAAATATAAGAATGATTAAAGTTAATGCATTTAAAAAGATAAACAAAATTTTGTTAAAAAAAAAGTTTTAGAAAGCCATTACAATTTATTAAGTTTGATCTTAAATGCTTTTATATTATCGAAACGCTTTTAATGAAGTAAAAAAAACACTTCTAATTAATTTTTAAAAAAGTATTAATAAAATGTTTTTTTATTTTATTTATATATTTTTTATAAGAAATGTTTAACTTTTGAACATATTAAATAAATAAAAAATATATACAAATGTTGAAACAAAGATTGAAATGGTTCTGTTGAAACAAAGATTGAAATGCATAAATTAGACTGCATAAATTAGATAAAATAGACTAAGCATTTTAGTTTGATGAGCTTTGTTTTAGTTGCGTTATATATATACTTATTTTTTTGTGTTTTTGCTTTAACTAAGAATTTTTTTTTTTATTTTCTCTTTCGTTAAGATTTTTTTTTTTTTACAATTTTTTTTTAGATAAGTTTAGGTAAGCTTTTGTAGCGCGTTTTCAAATTTTGAAAACATGCCGTGGTCAAGTCGTTAAAACATATTATTTTTTGTATGGTCATTTAAAGACGTGAAATCGCACGCTTTCCTGTGAAAGTCTGATATATATATACAGCCCTCGGAATTAGGGTCAGCATTTGGCAATTTTTTTGCTGATCTCAAACATTTTAAGGTGGAAAATTTATACTACAAATTCTAATCAATTCAAAACTAAGAAAAATAATAAAATTTTATGCTTTTATATTCTTACTCAGGACAGTCTTCTTTTCGCCATGGTAATGTTTTTGTAAATGAGACAAACATATAATAAAAAGACCAACCGATCACAACTATATAGTATATACATAGTAAAAAGGAAATTATCAAGCTTGAAATTCCTATTCCCAATAAAGCAGGATGAATCTTACTCCAACATCCAATAGCACCTCTACGAAATCTCTGACCAATAGCAAATTCAATAAAAAATAGTGGTAACCCTTCAATTATCATCATAACAAAGTATGGTATCAGAAATGCTCCTAAATAAAAATAAATATAATATAATATAAATATTATATAATTTGAATATATATACGTATATATATATATATATATATATATATATATATATATATATATATATATATATATATATATATATATATATATATATATATATATATATATATATATATATATATATATATATATATATGTATACATATATATATACACATATATACATATATATATATATATATATATATATATATATATATATATATATATATATATATATATATATATATATATATATATATATATGTATACATATATATATACACATATATACATATATATATATATATATATATATATATATATATATATATATATATATATATATATATATATATATATATATATATATTATATATATATATATATATATGTATACATATATATATACACATGTATATATATGTGTCAGTCCACCCTATTTGTCAAAATGTTAAGTTATTTCTTAATTAGCTGTCAATTGTTGAAAAGTGTGGTTGGAGTAAGTTCAAAATTGATTTCAATTATTTATTTTTGGAACAATTTTTTGCAAGTTTTTTGAGTTTATAGCTATTGAAACCTAAGTAATGGTTAATAGTTTAATTAGTTATAGTTAATATTTATTACTTTTGCTCATTTTAATGCATAAATGTTGACTTGTAACCATTTTCACCTCTCATTGATTTTTTTAGTATGGGCAATATTAACCCTTAAATTAAAGTAGGGATGTAAAACCTTTATTCTTCATCCTACACATTTTTAGAGATAGCAGAAATTGCAAGTGTTTAAAAATCAGTAGTGAGCCGAATTAAAAGAAAAATTGATACAAATGTGCCTCTAGAACCAGACCGTGTCGGCAAAAGTGACAGAAAAAGGAGCACTACTCCATGTTGTGACCGTAAGAATAGAGACATCTGTCTTATAATCAGAAAAAAAAAATGTAGCTTAACTAGCTACAATAATAAACAATGAAGGAAATAACATCTCCAAAAGGACGGTTCAGAGAAGGTTGGCTGAAGAGAATTTAATGGGTTGTTGTCCAACCAAATAACTACATTTAACTGAAGCCATGAAAAAAAAATGACTGGAATGGGCTAGAAAGCACCAGCATATGACTATTGAAGACTGGAGTAGAGTAAATATAATTTATAATATTGTAAGAAACCAGAAAAATTTAAGGTTAATAATTTAAATAAGCTTTGAAATGTTTTACAGGCCTGCTTCTCGGACGTATCAACGTTTCAAATTTTGATGGACAAAAGCTTATTTGTTTGACAACGCTCAGGAGAAAAATTCCATCAGGGCAGCCTTTTGGAAAAGGTAAAACATTTTGTGAGTCTAATGGTGTGGTCTGTGATCTCAGCCAAGGGTATGGGCTGCCTTTACATTGTGGAAGGGATCATGAGGCAGGACCAGTACAAGCCAGAACTGGAAAACAGGCTCCTGCCCCAGATCCAAGAATGGTTCTTTGGTAATAAAGAGTATATGTTCATATATGACTCAGCACCATGCCATAAAGCTAGAAGTGTTGCAGCATTCCTAACTGAAAAAAAGTGTGTGTTTTGCCATGGCCAGGGAGTTCACCTGATATGAACCCCATAGAAAATTAATTTTATTTAGTTTACAATACGGGATATTGTCAAAGAAATCATCACTGCCAAGCAGCTATTGATAGAAAACCTTATAAGAGAGTGGCATAGCAACCCCAGTCTCCAACACAATGCAAAAGTCTGTATAGAAAGCTATGAGATATGAGGAACTGTCCTATTTATTAAAATAATATTCACATATTATTTTAATATATGAATATTAATTATTCCATACAAATTGATAGTTATAAATGCCAATAAATAATACAATAGGTCAAAAACATATATCATGATCAGAAGACCTTAATTTGTGCATTTTTGGAAGATCATACTTGCAAGCAGGACAGGAACCTGTAGGATAAATTTTATTATTACTCAAATAATTAAGGAAACCTTAAATTTTTAGTTTCCTTAAGAAGTTTTGAAGCTGCCTCTCCCTAATAATGGTGATATTTTTTTTTAAGTGTTTAAAAATTGAATCATTAATAATATTGTAAATCCCACTTTCATAAACCTTTCCATTGTATGCATGTGTTCTGTTTAAATGTTTTGTTTAAATAAGTAAATCTGTTTTGATGCAGTGTAAGCTCATTAACTAACTAGACAACTATAAAACCTATGCTCATCCTTATCTCTAGGATTTTGTTAAATCTAATCTTTTTACTAATCCATAGCCAAAATTTCATATTTATGCCAGTCTTATAGATGAAGAAGAAGTTTAAGGCTGGTTAGCATAATAATTCTGCTAACCAGCCTCAAACCTGTGTTACAATGTTTCCTGCCTAGGATGATGAATGCTGGATCTTCTTAACTCTTCTCATAGGTTTTTGCAGGTGCCTCCTTGATAGTGGCTATGCAACTCTTCCTGTTATCTCATAATGAGAGTACAGCTCTAAAACTCAGTTTAATAGTTCTGATGCGGGTTGATAGTAAGGTTTCAGAATATCTGTGCTAGCTCTCAGAGAGGCTGATTCCATCAACATCTGCAAAACGTCAGAGTATTAACAGTGCCATATTGCGCATGGATGGTGTCTCTGTTAAAGCTTTTGGTGTGCATTGTTAAGGCAACATAAGGAGCCCTATATTAGGACATAAGGTTAATTAACAGGACTGAGAAAATTACATAGCTCATTGGTTAGGAGGCCATGCTCTATCTATGAGTCAAGTTCCCTTTAAATGTAAATCATGCCAGAAGTAACCCAATATATTAATATAAAGAACCATCCCTACCACCTAACTGTTTTAATATATCTTTTACAGTTGAAACTTAGCTCTTGCAAAATTCACCAGACTTGCTTGCTCTTAGTGAGACTAAAGGAAATTCTGCTATTCCTTCTTCTGATCTCAGTGTTGATGGGTGCTATCCTTTGATTGGCAAAGAATCTAATAGTCACATGCTTGGCTCGGGGATGTATATACGCATCAACTCACTAATTTGTTGTGAAATCAGTTTCAAATCTTTTAACAATTCTTTTATTTGCTTACATGTGAAACCTCTTCATTCTATCAACTTAATAGTGGTTGCTTGCAGCCTTGTTGGAAGTAAATCAGAACAATAAAAAAAGCAAAAAAGATGGTCGGTAGTTATATATATGAATTAATGAGATGAGATTTTAGTTAAGCTTTTTGTTTACCCATGGAAGTATTACAGATGGAAGTGCAATGCTTAAAAACATCAAAGGTTCCAAATACCGCTACAAAAACCATGCGTGAAATGTAAATAATCAGCAAATATATGATATTTTTTTAAAATGGCTTAATTAAATACTTCATGCTTATATAAAAAAAAAAAAAGCTTAGAAGTTAGCTGGAATGTTGCCAAATAGTTAGTTCTATAATTTAAATTAAGAGACTGATTTTTATGAGTAAACAGATGGTTTCGCTGATGGCTGTTGGTTTAAAAGTATAACCCATTACATACTTGGTGTAGCTATGGCAGTTTTAAAATATTACAGATGCTATAATATTTTTTAAATATTATAGCGTCTGTATGATATTTTGTTGACTATTACATTTTTCCGTTAAATGATCAGGTCTGCAAATTATAAAAAGACGGAAAAAAATTAAAATGATAAATTTTGCGGTATCAAAAAATAAAAATTTTTGTTGCAAAAAAACCCAGACCAGAGATTCTTTTTTTTTTTCAAAACAATCTTCTTAAAATCTCAATCGCTTGTCCAAATTTAAATGAGATTTTAAATAAATACATTTTTTAGGTAAAATAAACATAACTTAATATGATTTGTTCTGATCATTTATTTTTCTTCTTATTTATTACTTTTTCTTAATTAAAAGCTCTTTCTTGGTCAGAATCCTAGTATTCTTTGTAAAAATTGATAGAAATATTGTATTTTGACAACTATATATAGTTAATATACATCAGAACCAATTAGAACTAGGATTTATAATATATTAAGAAACTTTTTAAAAAGATTTTAACTAATTTCATGTTAAACCCAATGAGTAGAATTGATTTAAAGACTCCAAAATGGTATTCACTATTACGAGTAGTAAAAAGTTTAGATTCACTATTATGGGTAGTAAAAAGGTTTTGAAAATTATATTAAAAAAGAGAAAAGTATCTTCAAATATTAAAAAACCTGAAGCAAAAAAAAATTATAACATACAAAGTTTTTGTTTGGGCATAATATGCTTATAAAATCATGCTTATTTCAAATAAAAGAATTCAAATTGTTTATAAATCGCCCTAGTACCAAAAAACCATACATATTAGTGTTTGCATTTTATAAAAAAAGTTTATGTATTATTTTAAGTTTAAGCATTATTTGTAACTAATTTGTCGCGAAAAAAAAAAGTTTCAACTCGCAAAGTTACGCTTCAATTATTTTATTTTAACTTATGAAAGTCCAACTTTTAAAAAGTGTAGACTGAAACATAACTTAACATTAAAATAAATCTATATTTGAGACATTTTAACTACTTCTCATATCTAGATTCTGTTACGTTACATTATGTTTTTCTTTGGTCATTAATACAAGCGTAATACTTAAAGAGTTTTAATAAACCCACAATCAAAAATGTATATAAATTGTCAACCTTTCTTATGAATTAATTTAGTGCATTATACATATTAATTAGCTTAAGCCAATTATGTGTATAGTTTGCTCTTTCTGAGCTATTTCATTCTACATTCTCTGACTTGATGTCACTTTCTCTCTCTTTCTCTAAATATAGCTCTCTCTATATATAGTAACTCTCTATCTCAATATATGTAAATAATCATATGAAAAATTATATATTGATAGATACAAGAGATTACTTGATGTTATGTTACATTAGGTGAAAATGTTATGTGTTGTTATGTAACATTTTTTAAGTAGCATTACGTTACAATGTTAAGTCTCGGTAATGTAAAAATAACAGACATTTTG